AGTTTGGGATTGCAACAAGCCCACATGAAGAATAAAACTTGCCATTCTACCCTAGCATAGAGAATGTATAACAACACTAACTCTATGGGCTAGTGTGCTCATGAGGAAGCACTGTAATGGGACTGGTACCAGGGGCAAGGCTAAGGCTAGGGTCTGGCAATATGTTCAAGAGGGTTGGAAGGTGTGCTCTAAAGCCTCCAGGTGGGTAGTCCACAAAGGGGACAAGGTCAATTTTCTTGAGGACATTTGGTTACCCAATATGCAACCTCTCAAATCTATCCTCAGAGGGCCTTGGAAACATGCTGATCTGAATAGGAAGGTCAATACTTTGCACTACAATGGAGCCTGGGACATCAACTCAATCAACTATCCCATCCCCCAAGATATCACAACCATCATCCATAACACCTTTATTCCTCTCAATGCCAGGTCCACTTATCAGCTTATATGGAATCTCACACCCACTGAGTTATTTTTTTCCATGCCTGCCTATACTTTCGTTGCCTCCAACTTGACCACCAATTCTGTCCAGGAAGACCGTTTTGGCTAGATATAAAAATTGAAAGTTCCAAATAAGATCAATTTCTTCACCTGGCTAATGCACCAAAATGGACTTCTCACTAGAAGTTACCTACATCACATTGGCCTAAACATTAACCCAAACCGCTCATATTGTGGAGCTCAGGTGGAAGACATCAACCACATATTCTTTGAGTGCATTAATGCAAAAGAGTTTTGGCTCAAACTAGTACTGGTTAGAACAAACAATCAAGCCTTCTCCCCTTCAGCCTTCGCTATGCAAAACAAGGAGGATACTTGGCATAGGCCGCAAAAAGTGCCTTTCAATGCATGTATTGATTGGAAGTCTCTACTTCCATTCTACTTTTGGAGCATTTGGAAAACTAAAAACACCAATGTTTTTTAGAGGAGGAAGACCCACACACCTATTCACCAAACGATTGCCATGGCAGTCGAATACTGCCATGTGGCCGTCAGGCATAACCTATCAACTGAAAAAATAGTACCCCATCTTAAGTGGCATCCCCCGATGTATGGTCTTTCAAACTAAACATTGATGGGGCTACTTGTGCAACAACTAGGAAAGGGGGAATTGGAGTAGTCTTTAGGAATAATAGGGGGGACTGAGTCATGGGGTACATGAAAGGGATGCCACACACAACTAGCATAAGAACTGAGCTTCAAGCTCTTTGGCAGGGCCTAAAAATTACAATTGATCAAATGCTCACTCCTTTAGTGATAGATACAGACTCCACAGAGGTAATAAACATGATAAGAGATCGCAATTTGACTCATAACCCCATAATCTATGAATGCAGGTCAATGATGGAGCAACTGGGGAATCCAGCAATAGGACATAACTATAGAGAGCAAAACCAAGTAGCAGATATCCTTGTAAAGGAGGGAGCTAAGAAGGAATTTTTTAAAAGAACTCGGTTTTTGGCAGTTCCTCAGGTGTTCGCAAACGAAGCAGGGTGGGCAAACATCCTAGGAACTATATTCAAAAGTAAAACCAATGTTGTAATATTGATACACTCTCGGTCAATGCTACTACTCAAGGGAACCCACATTCCCTTTATAATGATATAATTTTGTGAAAGATGACTATTATATATATATATATATATATATATATCCAGTTCACCAAAAAAACAATACTAATTCAAGTACCGTTGCTTCCTTTATTTAGTATAAAAATACATCTCAATAAAGGAGAATGCCACTTGAACAACACGGCTCCAGTTTTTGAAAGGCTGAGCAACTAATGTGTAATAGCTACATTTTGGCTGAAATTCAGGTGGAAAATAGAATATAGCCTTACCTTAGGTGTCTATATGAAATAATTTGATAAGCTTAAGGGCTATTATGTATTATCAATTTAAGTTGGAGGCCTTCTGCCGAGACACTCCATTTCATCTACCTTGGAATCTGCGGCAGCATTGACACTGGAAGCACCGGTACCAACCGGCTGGAAAAACTGGCGGACCTCAACGATGGTGAAGAAATCTTCACCAATTTTCTCTTCTTCTTCAGGTTTCAGAAATCTTCACCAATTTTCTCCGGCTCTACTGTACTTGTTCAACTCTGCTCCACTCAAAGCTGATCAGACTCGCTGTTGAGTATTCCTCATGGTACATACTCATGTTCCTGTTAGAGGCTCTTACATGTTTTCATTGAGCTTGAATTTTTACTTGTATTAGTGGACCAAATACTTGGTTTTATGGGTTATGAATTAATCCTCGAACCCATAGCTTGTATTTACTGAGTTCACAATTGAATATTTGTACATATTTAATGAATTTCCTAATATAAATACACCCCGCAGCTTATACTCTCCCTCCTTCCCTTATCTTAGCACATGCAATGATTATGAGGCCATGATGGTGAGAATTTTATATATGATATAGCCTTATGTATAAATCACTCGTTATCTTGAAGAACTATTGTGGGATGAAAATTTTGATCTGTAAAAGATGTCTTAAATGTAAAACACCTCAATCCTAGACTAGTTGGTCTGGTATACATGGATTCTTAATATTTATTCCACTCTATTTGGTAAGTTTTCATACTAGTACATAATAAATTGTAGTTAGGACAAATTAGGAGTTGTCCTAAACAAGGATTCTCTAAATTATGGTCTAACCAAACTAAAAAGACTACTTTCAAACACCAAACATGATATAAATGCGGGAAAATAAAACAATTACTAAACCTTATTCCGAACTAGTTGGTCTTGCCTATAGGATACTTTGCATCCATCTTCTTTTGCTTTTTGCCAAGTCTATATAAATTCAAGAGATTATAGGGCTTCTCGTGAAAATTTCCTTCATGTGATTTTAAATGTATCTCGTTCTCCTCTAATACCTTCAATCACTATGACGTCAATTGAACTGGTGAATTTTGGATGTCTAAATAGATATCACTAGATTATTTTCTCGCAAGACGACTCCATTTAGCAGTAACCAGCTGAAACAGTCAACTCTTTCTGACATTTTATGGTCTTCTATATTAGCTAGCTTCATAGCGAATTCTCTAGCACTCTGCTTTGAATCAGCTGGTAGTAGTACTGAGTTTTGACTATCTGTAGTCATATGCTGTGTCTTCCCTCTGTCAGTTCGTCTTCCCTCTTACTGATGAATTTGGTCCAGCTCACTCTTAGATCCAGAAACTTTCTATTTCCCAATCGGAGAACAAACATTCCATGCATTTCCACTTCTGCACTGCATAATTGTTGCCTCAGAATAGATCGCAAATTGAAACAATTCTAGAAATCTCCTTTAGAGTGAATTTGCTTACACAAAGTTCGTACCAGGATTTGATTATACTCACCTTTTCCTGCCGAATTCACCTCCTTAATGAGTTTTACTTTTACCCATAACTTTCTTATGTGTTTTAAAGGACCCACCACGAAAAGCAGAAGATATGACCTTTGTTATCTTGTGGTTCTTCCTCCCTGTTTAGCATTAATCACTTTTCTCCATAAGTTCCGGTGCCCTATGGTGTCTTAGACTACATCACTGATTATTAAGCAAGCATCTATTTTTTCAGAAAATCAGAAATGGAAGCATTAATTTCTGAAGCAATATGTGCTTAATTACCATTTTATTATTAAAACAGTGATATATTGTAGTCTAATATCAGCTGGAATCTGAGCTTGCAACTTAATTCTCTATGGTTCAAACTTCTAACCACATAATGGAAGCTATTAAGAAATTTTACAATTATGAACTTCTTTGTCTTGCCATATCCTTCCGATGCCTTTAATGTTATAGCCTTTTGTTGCTCTCACAATGAGTGATTTGTAGCAATGTTGTCTTGTTGACACGATTGACTTGGGTCAGGAAACATGCACGTATCTGGAATAATAATTTGGTTCATATGAGAAGCTAAAGCAGTTGGCTCTGGTATCTACTTGTGTTGTTGATTGAGATATGTTGCAAATGATATTAGATCTTCTGAAGACGATTGTTCTTGTTGTTCGTGTTTTTATGATCCAAAATATTTTCACTCAGAAACCAAGCTTTTGTTCTTAAATTATTTGTGGTATTTCCCTCCTGTCTTTGAGTTTCTGACTCATACTGGGTTTTTATAAATTTCAGTAAAATATGGGATACGTCACATCCTTGCTTTGGCCAACTTCTTCCAAGCACCAAGACAAATGACCTAAAGAAATAGTTGGAGAAATTTAAAGATCATGTGGCAATTTGCTGGGTCAATAATACAGTTGCACTTGCAGTGTTTCAACGCCATCAATTGGTAATTTTGCTCATTTCATTGTTTCTGATTCCAAAGTACTGAAGTTTTCCAAGTGCTTCTCAATTCAAAGGCAAGTTTTTATGGTTAACACACTTTCTTGATGTTCGATTGACGTAATGATATTTTAGTTCTATTTTGACGAGAACACGTCTCCTAGTTTGCTTTACCTCTTTAGTCATGAACAACAAATAGAGAGCTTGCAATCTAAGTGTTATGGCACTCAAGTTCAATAATAACCACTCTTTGGCTCTGAATATGGCGTTCTGTTATGAAGAGTATCTACATTATTGCTCTTTAATGAAAAATATAGAGCTCACTATGTAACTTCTAGACACTCAATTTCAATAAACATCATTCGCTGGCTATGGAGGTGTCGATGTTTGTCATTTGACATGGGGCATTTGAGAATCCTTGGTTTAGAATGAAATGACAAAATAATAGCTACTGTTTTAAATTGGGAGCAGGGTAGAAGGCGGACCCATACACCTCCGAGTTTTGAACCTGTGGGGGGTTCGGGCAGCTAACTCGTCTGAGATTTTTCAATTATCAAAAAAATAGCTAATGGACTTTCAGAGTTGATTAAACTTGTCCAGCTACACTACAGGTTGGAGTTACAGTTCCTCAACTACTTACAAAAGGAGGTAAGGTTACTGCTGATAGTGATTCTGTTGATGATATTCTACAAGTCCACTTTCTCCACAAACCATCTTAGGATAAAAAAGTCTTGAGCAACAGTGCAACACTAGGTAAGGTGATGTTTGAAAAATCCTTAACTAATTACTGCTCAACTTGTATGTTCAGTGAAGCTCGTTTAGTTCATTCTACAATATGGTAAGTTGGTAGTTGATAGCTAGGAGTGAGGTCAATGACAACGTTAAATATCACTGAGGATGTAGCTTGTCTAGAAATTCATCTAGCACTACATCTACAAATAATCTTCAGGCACTTGTTCAATTACCTGAACATGGCAGATGAGCAACATATGGCTGCTCAGGAGGTGGCGATGCCCAGCATTGCTAATGCCGCCTCTAGCATTGTGAAGTCCTGGATCACAGGGCACTTTGAGCTAATACAGACCATGATCCAGTTACTACATGCAAATGGGCAGTTTGTGGGTCTTCCACACGAGGATCCACAACAACACATTCTGAACTTCTTCGAGATTAGTGATACTTATATCACTAACGGAGTCACTCCAGATTATGTGAGGCTCACACTATTCATGTTTTCTTTATTGGGCTAAGCAAAGCGGTGGTTGAAGGCGGAACCAGCTAATTCTATTACATCATGGAATGATCTGGCTAGGAAACCTTTGGCACGGTTCTTCCCTTCAGGCAAAACTACAAAGATCAGAAGTGAGATAGTGGCCTTTAAACAAAAATCGGAAGAGTCTTTATATTCATCTTGGGAGAGGTTCAAGGCTGCTCAGAGATTGTCCTCATCACAATCAGATGAATGAAGTGTTAGCTCATACCTTCATAGAAGGGCTACATCCAGAGACAATGATTGTGGTGGACGGTGCAGGTCAAGTGTTGGAGAAAATCTTCGATGAAATATATGCATTATTGAACAAATTCTCCAAGAGTAATCCTGATTGGTAAGGAGAGATGGGCAGACACACCGTTCAAAAATCTGCGGAGGTCCTCGAGTTAGACGCTGTTTCTGCATTATCAGCACAGGTTGCCACATTGACCAACTGATGGTAGGCTAGAAACCCATGTTTTAGTCAAAGTACATTTTACTTATGGTTGAACTTAATTAATGGTTATTTGCGCTTATTACGTGTTTTATATCTTGCAGGAAATGATTCCGAGCTATTAAGGTAATTTGGAGCTAATTCAAACAAGTTGTAGCTTTGAAGTCTGAGTAAAAGCCCAAGAAATTAAGCCGGGATCACGTTCGGGGATCGAGGACCAAGTCTGGATGTCAAAAAGTGAGAACAAAAATTACTCTGAGAAAAATACACTACCGCGTCGCGCCATGGGTAGTGGGGTGCTAGTGCAAAATTCTTGCAGAGTAAAAAACACGATAGTGTATTTTCTCGCTCAACTTTTCCCACTTCGGCTTGGAAAGGATAGTTTTGTCAGGGTCCGTTCCTACATGGTATAAATACATAAAAAAAACATGAATTTTAGAGGACTTTTGACCTTGGAAGATTTGGGAGAACATTATAGGCTACATGACAAAGAATTTCGTCATCTTTCCATAAATTCAATACGGGAGTTTGAATTGTAATGTTAGATTGATGGTTTCTTACTCTTTAATTATATTTGTGATGACTTTCTCCATGATTATGGAGTAGTTTTCCTTAGGGTTTGACGGATATGGTGTTTTGATAAATATTTGTAGATTTTAACTCTAATTCTTTGCTTGAATTCGTTTATGGAGCTTTGAATTGTTGCAACTTTATTCACCGGTTTATTTAATCGAAAGAGAAATATTTTGGTGATTATCTTTGAATTATTTTATTTTGTTTAATTCAGTGATTCTCTTAATTAATCGAAAAAGCTTGTTGAATTGTTAATTAAATCAAGTTAGGAGAATATTCGAGAGAGGTTTTCCTGAAGATTAATCCATTAACGCATGCTTGTATATTTTTACAGTGCTTATATTAGTTTACCTCGTATAGTTCAGATTTAAGCGAGAGGAGTCTTCACTACATGTTTGAACTAATCATCGAGTGAATTCGTGAGAATCATTACAACATTAGAGTGAATTAAATTAGAGTTAAATCCCAAATAGCTATCTTGCATCTATCCTGTCATGACCTTATTCCTCACATTGATAAGAACTCAACTCTGCTAATCTCTAGCTCTTGCAGTCAATTGTCAATTGATTTACTTTAGTAGTTTATCGTACTTTGAAATCATTCTAATTCAAGTTTTCATCATCCTGAATAGCAGTTAAACCAGAAATTACTAGAGCATTGTTTAAATTCAATTCTTGTGGAGACGATAATTTTACTATACTATCTTTGGCTAGAGAGTATCAAGCAACATGGGTGAAGTATGTGGAGAGGGTCACACGAGCGACTTATGCGCAGCTAATTAAGAGTCTGTATGTTTTATGGGTAATGCAAATAGGGGACCATATAAATCAGTATGGGAACACTTACAATCCTAACTGGAGGAACCACCCAAACTTCTCTTGGGGTAGAAACCAAGGTGCTCAGAATCAGTACAGACCACAAGCTACTCAACAACAATATAGACCACTACATGCTGAACAACCTACAAACCCAACGAGTCACATTGAGGAGATGCTAATGAAATTAATGGGTGACAAGTAGGCCCACTCAGCAGCTATTCGAAATTTGGAGCGACAAATGGGGCAACTTGCCAGTGCAAAAAATACTCGACTAGTTATAGCCTTTCCAAGCGACACTAAGGCTAATCCTAAGGCATCTATTAATGTTGTGTCATTGAGGAATGAGAGACAGTTAGAAGAAGTCCCATCGAAAAAGAGAAAGCAAGTAGCCTTTAATGAAAAACAGGCCACCATAGAGGCAGAATCAGAAAAAGCAAAGGAGCCAGAGAAGCTAGTTGAAGAGGCGGTGGCAAATTAACCCCAACCACTAGTTGCTAGGTCACCACCTTTGTTCCCTCAAAGATTGCAGAAAGTGAAGGATAATGCTGCTTATAAGAAGTTTCTTGATATTTTGAAGCAGGGGCAAATTAATATTCCGCTGGTAGACATCTTGCAAGAAGTGCCCAAATATGGCAAATACATCAAAGACATAGTGGCAAATAAGAGGAGGTTGGTCGAGTTCGAGACTGTGGCACTTACCGAAGAATGTAGCTCAAGAATTCAAAGCAAGCTATCTCCGAAATTAAAGGATCTAGGTAGTTTCACTATCCAATTCTCGATTGGAAAGCACGCAGTTGGGCGAGATTTGTGTGATCTTGGGGCAAGCATCAATTTGATGCCTATATATGTTTTCAGACAGTTGAGGTTGGGTGAGCCGCGCCCAACTACGACGATTCTACAGTTGGCTGATCTCTCCCTTGCTCATCGAGAAAGGGTGATTGAAGATGTGTTAGTTCAAGTAGGTTCATTAATATTTCCTACTGATTTTATTATCTTGGACTATGAGCCTGATCAGGAAGTCCAGTTTATTTTGGGGCATCCATTCTTAGCCACGAGTAGAGTTATTATTGATGTATGTGAAGGAAAGATGATAATGAGAGTGGGTGATCGAGTGGAGGTATTCAATGTTTATAAAACACTCAAATTATCAGCCCATGATGAAAAGCTATCCATGATCTCTGTGGTGGAAAGTGATGTGACTTCATTGGTGCCTTATATGAGCCCCATAGATCCTCTTGAATGAGTTATGATGGGGGATGGAGAATAAAGTGAAGATGAGATGATGGAAGAAATTGTGCAAGTCCTTAACATGTCTTGCAAGTATGTCCACGAACTTGGGAGATTTGAGGAATTGGACAGACTTGTTGCTCTGACCCCTTCTAAACAAACTGTTGAAGAAGCTCGAAAGCTAGATCTCAGGCCTCTCCCAGCGCACCTGCGCTATGCCTACTAGGGGAATTATGAAACGTTACCAGTGATTATTTCATCTAGATTGACCGATGTGCAAGAAGAAAAGCTGCTAAGAGTATTTCGTGAGCACAAAAGAGCTATTGGGTGGACAATTGTTGATATCAAGGGAATCACTCCACCATTCTACATGCATAAAATTTTTCTGGAAGATGGACAACGCCCCAGTATTGAGCAAGAAAGGAGGTTAAATCCTATTATCAAGGAGGTCGTGAAGAAGGAGGTAATTAAATGGCTTGATGCAGGTATTATCTTCCCTATTTCTGACAGCAACTGGGTAAGCTCAGTGCAATGTGTGCCCAAAAAGGGGGGGGGGGGTAATAGGGTGGAGAGTTTGCATTGACTATAGAAGGCTCTACAAAGCAACCCGTAAGGACCACTTACCACTTTCATTCATTGACCAAATATTGGACAGGTTGACTGGGCATGAGTATTATTGCTTCCTTGATGGTTATTCGGGGTACAACTAGATTGTCATATGCCATAGGATCAGGAGAAAACAACTTTCACATGCCCTTATGGTACTTTTGCTTTCAAGCGAATGCTATTTGGTCTTTGTAATGCGCCAACCACTTTTCAGAGGTGCATGATGTCCATTTTCACTGGTATGGTAGAAATATTTGTAGAAGTATTCATGGTTAATTTTTCAGTCTTTGGGTCTTCTTATGGTGATTGTTTAAAGAATTTGGATAAGGTATTGGCACATTGTGAAGAAATAAATTTGGTGCTAAATTGGAAAAAGTGCTATTTTATGGTGCAAGAGGGCATTGTGTTGGGTCATAGAGTATCGAAGAGTGGCATTGAAGTTGATAAGGTGAAGGTGGAGGCGGTTGCAAAGTTACCTCCAGCCATATCTGTGAAGGGTATCCAGAGTTTCTTGGGACACATAGGTTTCTATAGACGCTTTATTAAAGATTTTTCTAAAATTCCATTATGCAAGTTTCTTGAAAAGGATGTGACTTTCAAATTTGATGAAGCTTGCCTGAAGGCATTCGAGGAGCTCAAAGAGAAGTTGATGGCTGCCCCCATTGTTGTGGCGCTGGATTGGTCCTTACCATTTGAACTTATGTGCGATGCAAGTGACCATGCTATTGGGGCGGTGCTAGGCCATAGGAAGGACAATAAGTTTTACTCCATATACTATGCGAGTAAGACTCTTGATGATGCATAGCTGAATTACACCACCATTGAAAATGAGTTGTTGGCAGTTGTGTGAGCCTTTGAGAAATTTCGGGCTTACTTGGTGGGATCAAAAGTTATAGTCCATACCGATTATGCAGCAATCAAGTATCTATTTACAAAAAAGGAATCCAAGGCTAGATTGATGCGCTCAAGTATTTATTTACAAAAAAAAAGGAATCCAAGGCTAGATTGATGCGCTGGAGTTTATAGTTGCAGGAATTTGATGTAGAAGTACGAGATCGAAAGGGCAGAGAAAACCAAGTGGCTAACCACCTGTCAAGGCTGAAAAATTATGAGCACGTGGAGGAAGGTGGAAAAATTAAGGAGATATTTCCTGATGAGTAACTTTTCTCCATCACCCATGACCCTGCCCTATGCTACGCAGACTATGTGAATTATATTGTGAGTGGGGTATTTTCTCCTGAAATTTAATCTGAAGCTAGGAAGAGGTTTTTGCATGATGTGAACTTGTACTACTAGGATGAGCCATTCTTCTACAGACAGTGTGCTGCTCAGTTGATGAGGAAATGCATTTTTGAAAAGGAGGTGGAATTATTCTTGTATGACTGTCATGCCTCGCCTTTTGGGGGCCATCATGGAGATGATAGGACAGCTGCAAAGGTGTTGTAGTTGGGGTTCTATTGGCCAACATTGTTCAAGGAAGACCATGCATTTGTTAAGACATGTGACCAGTGTCACAGAACAGGAACAATCACGGGGAGGCATGGGATGCCTTTGAATAATATCCCGGAGTTAGAGATTTTTAATTTGTGGGGAATAGACTTCATGGAACCATTCCCATTGTTTAGAGGAAACAAATATATTTTGCTAGCGGTGGACTACGTATCAAAATGGGTAGAGGTGTTCGCATTGCCAACCAATGATGCCAAGGTGGTAGCCACTTTTGTGAAGAAAAATAGATTCTCGAGATTTTGAGACTCCACATGCCTTGATTAGTGATGAAGGAACACATTTCTACAATCAGTTGTTGAATAAACTTCTAGACAAATATGGGGTCCGCCGCACAGTTGCCACGGCATATCATCCACAAACAAGTGGACAAGGTGAAGTGTCAAACAGAGAAATAAAGCAGATATTAGACAAGACAGTGAGTGTGGACATGAAAGATTGTGCTGCAAAGCTAGATGATGCTTTGCAGGAATATAGAACTGCATACGAAACACCAATTGGGGCGTCCTTGTATAAGCTTGTTTATGGGAAGACATGTCACTTGCTGGCTGAACTTGAACATAAGGCGTATTGGGCGATTAAGAAGTTAAATATGGACTTTAGAGCCACGGACGAGAAGAGGCTATTGCAGTTGAATGAGTTAGATGAGTTCATGCTGCACTCCTATGAAAATGCTAAGCTTTATAAGGAGAAAACAAAAAGATGACATGACAAGCGTATCAAGCCACGTCACATTGAATTGGGCCAAAATATACTATTGTTCAATTCCAGACTTAATACTGGAAAGTTAAAATCGAGGTGGTCAGGTCCATTTGAGGTGGTGAGAGTCACTATAAACAGTGAAAGAAATTTTTTGGTGTACATGCAAAGAGTCAAACACCATTGGGGAGATCTCATTGACCGTCAAAAGTCCAAAGTAATACTAGCTGATGAGTAAGCGAGGCGCTGCATCGTGCCGCGATGTTAAATCAAGCATTTGTTAGGAGGCAACCTAATTTTTAGTGCTTTCGTTGATTAGCTTTTCATTTTTTTATAGTTAGAGTAGACTACAACTTTTGTTTTCTTTGTAGTCGTAGAAATCACTGGTAGGAATGGTGTGGTATGTGTATAATGGATGTACTACGTGCTCGGGGCCGAGGATTTCATTCAAAACAAAATTGGAAAAGTAGCGCCTAGTGCTACCTGGGGGGCACAAAACAGTCCAATTTCTCCCCCCCAGCGCCAGTCCTAGCTCGACGCGCTTGGCTGGGGGGCAGGTACGTTTTTATTTATTTATTATTTTCGTTTTATATTTTTATTAAATTATTTCCCCTTACCCCGACTTGGATACCTATTTAAACTCAACTAATAACCCATGCCCATTACCCATACCCATTCCCACTCTAATTAACATAACTCAAACCTACTAAACCCCCATACCCGTATCTCTCTTTCTCCCTCTCAAACCGCGCCTCTCTGTCTCTCCCCCGCTACTCTCTCTCTCTCTCTCTCTCTCTCTCTCTCAATTTTTCTTGTCTTCTCTCTTGCATTCATCTCTAATCCCCTAGGTATGTTTCCCCTTCTCCATTGTCTTTTATTTTGTACGTTATAATCCCCGTCCCCCATCCAAAATGGCCCCTACCCCAATTCCCTCATAGTTTTTCTTTAGAACTTGTTTTCTATGGTTGGTAGAGGCGGATCCAGGATTTAAATCCCATGAGTTCAACTTTTAAGATTTTTTGCATTGAACCCATTATAATTTTAAAGTTATGGGTTACTGTTTATGCAATTTTAATAAATTTTTACATATAAATTTTTACTCCACGCCGAAAGTTATAGGTTCAGTTGAACGCCTTCGTAACACACTACATACGCCCCTGATGGTGGGTGGCCCTTATGTGAAAAGAAGTAAGAATTGATTGTGAAGTTGTTCTACGGAGTAGTAAACTACAATTCCCTCCACTTCATTTAAAATTTGGGAGGGCCACCATGTTCCACCATTGCTGAATGGAGTTGCATACACTTGATGCCCACCACATGTTTGATAAAATGCTTGAAAGAGTAAATTGTGCACTGATGAAGTTTGAGTAGCCGAGTGTATTTGTATGTGATGTTGGGCTAAGTGTGGGGTGTTTGGGGGTAGTTTTACATAACCTGAGGCTTGTCTTTAATATACACATGTCATAACCACACCACCCACACCTTGTATCATGTATTATGTATGTTGTATTCCTTTGTTAGAATTAGGTAGTTAGTGTATTAGTTGTAAAGATTGGGGACCTTGTGTTTCTTGCTTGCACTAAGGCTAAGTCACTTCGCCATGATCGACTACTTGATTTGTGTGGAATAGTAATTGAACTATAATACCCATCGTCTTGTGGCGTAATATTTGTGCACTTTTGAGCCACTATTGTGAGTATATTAGATAGAGCCTTCGATTCTAAGTGTGGGGTCATCTTTGACACTCATGATAATCTTAGGCGGTTTTCATGATTCATTCTCACATTCAAGTTTATTGTGTTGTAGGTTGCAATGGCTTGTGATGGTGCTAACAAAGGAAAAGGAGTGAGGAAGTCCTCTACTACTGCTCCCCCTCCTAAAAAGCACAAGCAAGGTGAAGGGTCATCTCGGCAAGCAAAAGGGAAACAGGTTGCCGATAGGTCAATGGAGGAACCATCGGGACCACTGACCCAATTGGATCTGGTTCGGGAGGATACTATCCAATGGTTTCATAACTTTGAGCCATATGGGTGGTATGTCTCTGAAATGTGGATCAATGTGACCACTTTGGAGAAGCGTTTCCCCGATGTGCTAGCCTGGTTGAGAGATATGAAGATGGACAAGTTCCTTGAGTGCCCGGGACATGCACATTTCAGCATGGTACGAGAGCTATATGTAAATTGGAATGAGCATTGGTTCATGTCGTGGGTCCGATGAAAAGAAGTGCCATTGGATAAGGTGTCCTTATGCAAATTCTTAGGAGTTGATGGCTCTAAGATGAGGAGGCTGCAAAGGTTTGTCAAGTGCCCAAGCTACAAGGCTATTTGTCACACTCTATGTGGCGTAGATTCTAATGCAAAATGGATGAGGGCAAATGGTGATACACATCTTGAGATGATCCAATTTGACTTCAACAAAACTGCCAAGGTGTGGCAGAACTGTGTGCAGGCCGGACTGATGCCGGTGGAGCACAACAGAGAGTGCACTCGAGCCCGGGTATGTTTGATCTTTTTTTTGATGACTGCGCGATGTGGCGTAGATTCTTTGGTAACCTGTTGATGCAGTACATGCTCTATCGTGTGGTGCCTGAGTACCCCGGTTATGATGAGGTGGTGGACGCTCCAAAGGGGCTGATGGACATTACTTCCTTGTTGGAGTCTACGTCCAAGTTGAGTCAGGCTGCGCGGAATGAGCGGGATGAAAACTTCAACATATATCTATATGGCTTCCCGACTTTGATAATGAGTAAGTTGGGCATGGCAGATGAGGAGCGTATGCATCTACGCAATGATCTGTCTAGTCCTTCAAAGAAAATGTTGGGGATTGCGCCTGGCAATCCCATTCACCCATCGGAGGATGAAAATACCAACAAGGGCTCTAATGAGGATGATATTGATGCTGATGTCACGGGACCAATGGCTTTGGTGCCCCTGGGAGCGGATGATGATGAGCCTGGAGTTTTGGATGGTGGGCATTCTGAAGGTGAATGATCCAAGTATGACCCCCATGGGTCCGACTAGCAGGGAGTTCTTCTTTCCACCTTACTTTGTTTAGAATTCTTACATGTATCGGGGATTATGCATAACTTAAGTGTGGGGTGGGGGAACTACTTTTTGAAGTGTAATTGTATACAACTATTTTTTTATTAGCTTTTCTTTTAGAACTCGTAGTAGACATAGTCTAGTTTCTTAAAAAAAACGAAAATAGAAATAAAACCCAGAAAAAGCTCGGACTGTTCCCGAAGATTAAAAACACAATCGTCGGGAACAGTCCGAGCTTTTTCTTGGTTTTATTTCTATTTTCGTTTTTTTAAAGAAACTAGACTATGTCTACTACGAGTTCTAAAAGAAAAGCTAATAAAAAAATAGTTGTATATAATTACACTTCAAAAAGTAGTGGATCGTCGGGAAAAATCCGAGATTTTTCTAATTTTGTTTTCTTCTATTTATCAATTTTCCCCTTAAGAAACTAGACTATGTCTACTACGAGTTCTAAAAGAAAAGCTAATAAAAAAAATAGTTGTATACAATTACACTTCAGAAAGTAGTTCCCCCACTCCACATGTAAGTTATGCATAGTCTCCGATGCATATAAGAATTCAAAACAAAGTAAGGTGGAAAGAAGAACTCCTTGCTGGTCGGACCCATAGGGGTCATACTCAGATCCTTCATCCTCAGAGCGTCCACCAGCCAAAGCTCCGGGCTCATCATCATCTACTCCCAGGGGCACCAAAGCCATTGGCCCTGTGACATCAACACCAATATCATCCTCATCATCTAAGCCCTTGTTGGTGTTATCATTCTCCGATGGGTGAATGGGACTGCCAAGTGCAATCCCCAACATTTCCTTCGAAGAACTGGACATATCATTGCGTAGATGCATACGCTCCTCATCCGTCACTCCGAACTTGCTCATTATCAAATTCAGGGAGCCATATAGATATTTGTTGAAATTTATATTCCGCGCAACCTGGCTCAGCTTGGACATAGACTCCAATAAGGAAGTAATGTCCATCAGTCCTTCGGAGCATCCACCACCTCATCATAACCGGCGTACTCAGGCACCTCACGATAGAACATGTATCGCGTCAACAAGTTACTAAAGAAGAACCTTTTTATTTTCTGCCCAAACCGTGTGCGAGCCATCTCTCCCAACATAATCTCACTCACATTGACGGGTTGCCCAGTTAACATCAGAAAAATGATCAAACACACCCGGGCTCGAGTGCCCTCATTGTTGTGCTCCACCGACATCAGTCTGACCTGCACAAAATTCTGCCACACCTTGGCAGTTTTGTTAAAGTCAAATTGGATCATCTCAAGATGCGTATCATCCTTTGTCCTCGTCCATTTTGCATTAGAATCTACGCCAAATAGAGTGTGACACATAGCCTTGTAGCTTGGGCAATTGACAAACTTTTGCAGTCTCCTCTGGTTAGGGAAATCAACTCCTAAGAATTTACATAACGACGCCCTATCTAATGGCACTTCTTTTCCTCTAACCCACGACATGAACCGATGCTCATTCCAATATGCATATAGCTCCCTTACCATGCTCAAATATGTATGCACGGGGCACTCAAGGAACTTTTTCATCTTCATATCTCTCAACCGGGCTAGCACATCGGGGAAAGTTTTCTCCAAGGTGGTCACATTGATCTCGATTTCATAGCATTCCGCCCATATGGCTCAAAGTTATGATACCACTGTATAGCAGCCTCTCGAATCAGATCCAATTGGGGTCGTGCTCCCGATGGTGCCCTCCTTGACCCGTAGGCAACCTGCTTCCCTTTTGCTTGCCGAGATGACCCTTCACCTTGCTTGCGCTTTTTAGGAGGGGGAGCATTAGTAGAGGACTTACCTACTCCTTTTCCTTTGTTAGCACTGTCATGGGATATTGCAACCTACAACACAACAAACTTGAATGTGAAAATGAATCATGAAAACCGCTTAAGGTTATCGTGAGAGTTAAAGATGACCCCACACTTAGAACCAAAGGCTCTATGTG